CAGCCATGCTGCCCCCCGACTCTGCTTCAGCGGGGAGCTGATCACCAAGCAGCAGGTGGGTGGGGCCCATGAGGCCCCGGTGAGTCCCCCATCTGAGGCCAGCAAACAATCTGTCAGCCACAGGTCAGCAAGAGACCACCAGGCATCAGGAGACCCTCGACCCTGGAGGGGCAATCATCTCTGGGGGACACTGCATGGCAGCTGGGACCTGTCACTGCCCCCCAAGGATGAGATCAAGCAAAGCCCTAGGACCCGGGCTTGTCTCCAACCTGCCAAGCCAGAGGCGGGGGAGTGGCCTTGATGACCTCTCAAACAAGGCCAACTCCTTGCATCCCTGTGGCCCAAAGCGACTGGCATCCAGAATGACCCCCGCCCTCACCGGGCAGATGCTGTCCTCCCCTCACGCCTGGGCTCCAGGGTCCGGGGAACTGCAGCCTCAGCGATGCCTGGCTGCTGAGCAGCCACATCAGCAGCTCACATGCCCAGCTTGGGTCCCTGCCCAATGGGCCAGCGGGAGGCCCGGGCCAAGCTGCATCCAGAGCTGTCTGGTGCTGCGATGGGCCCGGAGAAGGGAAGGGGCTAACCTAAGGAGGGGACTCCTGGGTCAGCCTCTTGGGGTCTCTCTCTGCGCCAGGGCCTGGCTGGGGCTCCTGAGGGCCAGTGTCTGGCTCACAGGCTCAGAGCAGGCGCCCCCTCCTCCTGGGTCAGGAACGTCCACTCTCAGCTACTCCACCTGCCTCGTCCTCTAAGAACCAGGAGGCAGCACGTGGTCTGCTGGGACCGAGCATCTTGGCTTCTGGCAGGTGTCAGGAGGGGCCTTGCCAGCCCCAGCGACCAGCAAATACCCACCCCCTAGGTCAGCCTGAGTAGGGGCCCCTGGAGGCTGGAGATGGCCCAGCCAGGGGTGCTGACCATGCACAGGGTCGAGCTCAGAGTGGAGTGAAGGGGCGGGCAGAGCAGAAAGAGTCATGGTGCTTACCCAGGCATGCGGGGGGGGGGGGGGGGGGAGTGGAGATGCCTCCCAACCCCACCCCAGGCCCCCTTTGCATAGCCCCCAGTGGAGAGAAAGGGGCAGAAATCTGGCAAGTGTCTCTACAGGACTTGCTAGCAAAGGCTGACCCTGCCTGGACCTGGCAAAAGACGAACCACCGGCTCTCAGGGGGGCTGGCACAGGTGTGCCCGTAAAAAGGTTCTCAGGGGGCCTCCTCCTCCACCTTCTGGGCTCAGCACCTTCCCTGGCACCCACTTCCTGAGCCCCAAAATTGGGTCCTGGGTCCTTTCTGGCTGGGCTGTGCCCAGACCCCCACCCAATCCCACCTCTGCTTAGGATCCCTGCAGTCCAACTTCCAGGAGGACTGGGGAAGGGGCCAAGGGGCAGCTGAGGGAGGGCCGGAGCAGAGGGGAGGGAGGAGTCCAGGGCCCTGGCCTCAGCCTGACCCTGCCTGCAGGCTGACAGAAGCCCCCCCTTTGCTGCAAAGAGGTTCCTAGACACAAACCTGCCTGGGTCCATACTCTGCCTGATTCCCATGAGTCCCTGAGGGTTGAGAACATGCTCAGTCCCTCTGCACAGATGGGGAGACTGAGGCCCAGAGAGCCCAGCCACAGGCCAGCATCACCCTGTCCCTGACAGGCCAGGGTCACCCTGCTGCAGCCTGGTGGCCTCTGGCTTCCGCTGGCAGCATCAGTACAGGCCCAGCCCCAGAGACCCTGCTCCCAGCCCGGGCTGCCCAGAGGCGGCAGCAGGGACAAGGCGGGAAGGGGCTTCCTGGACCACCCTGGGCTCTGCCCAGCCCCGGCCTTCCTGCGGGTACAGGGGATGGCCCAGCCCCTGCCTGGCGGGAAATGCATTCAGGAAGAAGGACCACAGCCACTGGAAGTTGTAGGACCACCTGCCAGTGGCAGGAGCACCTCTCTTGGGGAGCATGCAGGGGCTGCTCCGCTCACCCCGCTGCTCCGGACTGGATTCCTGTGTGCCTGCGTGTGTACCTGCATCCGTTCGTTCATTCATCCACCTGTTCATTCATTGATCTGACCCAGGTGTCCTAGGCTCTCCAGTGCTTTGTGCCTACAGGATGCAGGTGGGAATGGACACCTTTTAAAACCTTGCTTTAAGGTTCTCTTAAAACAAGACGGAGGGGAGAAGCGTCCCGGAGCAGGAGGAGGGACACCAGATCCCCCTGGAACCTCACCTGGGCCTTTACGGAGGGCTTCCAAGAGGTGGCGTCTGGGCTCTGCCTTGGAGGAGCCAACCAGCCTGAAAGGGTGGCATAGGGCGCTGGTGGCAGGAGCCAGAGGGAGCTGCTCCTTCGGCCATCAGCGTGGCGGCCCAGCAGGAGCTGTCGAGAGGTCTGGAGGGGGCAGCAGCCATGCTGGCAGGGTCCTGGGCGGGGAGATGGCGGGGTGCAGGGTGCAAGACCAGTGAACGTGGGGCTTGTCCATCACACAAGTGCAGGTTCTTGGAGAAGGAGTTCAGGGCTTGGAGGGGCCATGGAGAACCCGGCCCGAGGGCTCTGTCTCTGGCCACTGAGTGGAACTGCGATTGCATCAGGTGGGGAGAAAGGAGCAGAGGGAACGCGGGTTTGGGGAGCCCGGCCTGGGGTGTCAGGAGCAGGTGGGAGGGCCAGGGTGTGGGGAGGGTCAGGGTTGGCCCCAGCACAAGACAAGTTGCTGGCACAGAGCAGACTGGAACCCAGGAGGGTAAGCACCCAGGAGAGGTAGGAGAAGGCAGCAGCAAGACAGGAGGGGTCTCAACGCCTGGGGGCGCAAGGAGGGCCACGGGGGGCATGGGGAAGGCTGTGGGGGGCATTGGGGAAGGCCATGGGGGCACCAGGAAGGAACTGGGGAGGTGGGGGGGGAGGCGGGGTGGTACTCCTGCTGTCACGGGCTGGGCTGAGTGGGGCCATCAGAATCCTGGCCCCTCCAGCTGCAGCCCTGGCCCCATCTGGCCTAGGTGGTCTCCCCTCTCATCCACCGTCCTCTCCACCCCACAGGGCGAGCGCTGTGTCCGCTGGAGGAGAAGTTTTGTCTCAAGTCTCCCGCCCAGCAGTTTAGCCTGGGCAGCATGGCAGGTGGGAGCTGAGCAAGGCGGGGGCCCTGGGACGGGGGCAGGAGGCGGGGTCCTCTAGAGGGCGCACACAGCCCTGCCCCGTTCACAGGTGAGTTTTGTGGGGAGAAGCCAGTGCTTAGCATGGTGAGACTTCGCTGCCACCCTGCAGGTGCCTGGCCTGAGCAGGGACCTCCAGCCCGGCCACTCAGAGCCACTAGCCTCCCCAAGGGCAAGGGGCTGCCAGGGCTCAACCAGAGAACAGGCAGGAGGCCTGGTGCCCACACGGGTGTGCGGCTGGTGCCCCCAAGCCCCCCTCCCACATTCCTCTTCCTGCACTTGTCCCACCCCAAAAGGAACCCCCAGATCTGCTCCTGGGCCAGGGTGCCATCACCAGCAGCCCCTCCCCACAGTCTGCCCCCCCTCCCCAGAGAAGACCACTCACTCCTGCTTCCACCGGCACCTCCAAGCTCCCAGCCTAGGAGGGGTGCCCAGTCCCACCAGGACACGCTTGGGCCCACAGCAGGGGCCCAGCCAGGGCCAGGAGGCCCGTGGGCTAAGATGCAGGCGCCTCAACCTCACCAGGACCCCAGTGGGCCTGGTGCCCACTCTCCTGCCCCCACTGGGTGGGTGGCAGTGTCCATGCTGGTCCCATTCAGGGAGCTGACCTGCACCCACGCCTCCCCCACGAACATTTCCGGACAGCCTTGGGGCCATTCCAAAGCCAGAGGCCAGGGCTGCCAAGAATCCAGCTTCCGGGCAGAAGGTGCCAGGCCCTGGGACAGGAGCTTGAACCCCTGATGGGCTGGGCCTGTGTCTGGGGATGACCAGCCCCTGTCCCCCCAGTGGCACCCCACACAGGAACTGCTTCCCCGGCCTCATCCCCCCTCCCAGGGTCAGAGCCCAGGCTCCCTGCCCCCCATGGATGCTCACACCCACCCCCTCACTGTTGGTCAGAGCTGTTGACCCCACTCAGCCCAGTGCTGAGGCCCTGGCTGGCCTGGAGTGACGTGGGGCAGCAGCAAAGGGATAGGTGACACTAGGCAGATTTGATCAGGGCCCAGGTCCCAGAGACGGCCTGTCAACCCAGGGCAGCTTCTGGAGGGAGGCAGCCCTCTCTGTAAGGTGGGCAGGTGGCCTCACGTCCTCTGCTTGGGGGAGACACCGTGGCTGTGAGCAGTCCCCACCTCAGCACCCCAGGTAACAGGACAGACCTGAGTGCCACAGGGTGCCGCTGGGCCAGGCTTGGGGCAGGGGGCACCAGTGCAGCTGGGGCCACTCACAAGGGATGGGCCGTGCCCGAGGCCAGAGGGGCCCCAGGCTGAGGAGGGCACCCAGGGGCCACCAGCAGAGCACCACTAGCAGGTTGTGGGGAAGCCGTGCCCAGCACGCCTGGCCCTGGGGTCCACATCGGGGCCAGACTGTCCCTTCATCTTCCCATCAGCACCCGGCCCGCAAGGCCTTCAGGACCAAACTCATATGGCAAAACGGGGTCTTTCATCCCCTCCCAGGGTCACAGGCTTGGAAAGGGAAGGATGGCAGGGCTTGTGAGACCAGGGTCCCAGCCGCAGGTGGGAAGTGACCAGAGGCCCCAGAGGCAAGGCAGCGCCAAGGCCCATGCCCCCTGCCCACATCCAGGCTGCTGGGACGGGCTTCTGGGCCTGGAGAAGGGACCAGCCATGCAGGGGCCTCTGCCTGCTCCCCCACCTCACTCAGCCCCCAGGGGCAGGGCCCAGGCCTGTCCTAGTCAGAGCCTCTTACATAAGCAGCCCTGTGGGGGGCGAGGCTGCAGCTGGGCTGGGCTGCCCCATCCTCCCCTCAGCATCACGAGCCTCCAGTGGGCTGTCCTTGGGCCCTGGGTGGAGGCCAAGCCAGGCCCATAAATAGGGGTCTCCCCACCGGCCTCTGCTCCTCCTGCCTGCCTCCCTCACTCTGCCCGCACTGCTGGCACCCGGCCCCAGACGCCTGCTCAGATCCTGCAGAATGGCTGCTTCACACACGCTGTGGATGGGGTTGGTCCTGCTGGGGGTCCTGGGGGTCCTGCAGACCCGAGCCCAGGCCCAGCCCTCCCTGCAGCCCAACTTCCAACAGGACAAGGTGAGGGGCTCCCCTGCCCAGTCCCCAAGGCAGGACAGGGCCCTGTCAGGGGAAGGGGGTGCTCTCTGGGGCCAGCTGTCTCCCTGGGAAGAGAGGAGCTCAGCTGAGTGGAAGGAAGGCTAGACCCCTGCCGGAGGAGGCTGACCACACGAGGCCCCCTGGGGCGACTGCAATTCGCCAACCAAGAGCGCCGAGCCGGGTATCCCCAACCCGTAGGGAAGCAGCTATGTCCTCGAGCGCGCACACGGCACATGCAGACACGCGGGCTACCTGCGTGCCCACGCCATCCAAACACAGTCACCCCTCTGAGCTCAAGATGCCCAGAGGAAGCAGGCACACGTTCTACACCTGGGTCCCAGGACTCATCTCGGTGCACTAGTGCGAAGATGCGGATGGCGCACGGGGGTGGCGCACGCGGGTGCCCACACAAACCCGAGCGCGCTGGTCCGCGCCTCGCACACAGACAGCCGGCGGCGCGCACACCCACAGGGGCTGTGCGGGGACGCGCCGGAGCAGGTCCTCCCGTCCCGCACCGTCTCGGGTCTCCAGCCCCACCCCTCCCCGCACCCCGTCCCCGAGCGTCGCAGACGCCCCGCAGTCCGCCCAGGGCAGCCAGGCTCGCCCCGACCCCTCCAAGAACTGCCAGGGCGCCCTCTGCCGCCAGTTCCACCGACGGACAGGGCGGGGCGGGGCGGGGCGGGGCGGGGCTGGGCCGGGCCAGGCTGGAGACCCGAGCGGGAGGGGCGGGGGCGCCCACCCCTGTCGGCCCCAGCGGGTCCTGGCCCTTCGCCGCAGTTCCTGGGCCGCTGGTTCACCTCGGGCCTGGCCTCCAACTCGAGCTGGTTCCGGGAGAAGAAGAAGGTGCTGTCCATGTGCACGTCGGTGGTGGCCCCGACCGCAGACGGCGGCTTCAACCTCACCTCCACCTTCCTCAGGTCGGGCGGCGGGCGGGCTTCTGGGGCTGAAAGCTTCCCGTCCCGTGGTCGCGATCTAGGGACACCCTAGGCCTGACCTCTGACCCCGAGGTGACCTGCCCACAGGAAAGACCAGTGTGAGACCCGGACCCTGCTGCTGCAGCCGGCCGGACCCCCAGGCTGCTATAGCTACACGAGTCCCCGTGAGTAGGGGCCCCCTCCCTGGACCCCTGGGTCCAGCCCTGGGTGACACTTGCTGGCGGTGACTCTGGGAGAACCTCCTACCCCAGCAGTACACGAGGTGGGGTGGTAGCTGCCCCACTAGGGTCAGCAGGTGCAAGGCCCGGGTGTGGGGTATCAGGGACCCTCTCTTGGGCACTGGATCCTCTTTGGAGCCCATGTCCTGCCAGGCCCCTTCCTGCCCCAAGATGGGATTTCCCCAGGTCTCTGCTGCCCCTCTCTGCTGGCCAGGCGGAGCCCACGCAGGCAGCCCCCCAGTACCCCTCACAGCTCCCCACAGCTCTCGCCTGGGGACCCTGGGGGGAGGCCTCCCCACTCCCCTGGGGATAGCAACCTTTCCTCTTCCCGGTTCTGGCCAAGGGGTTTGTAGCTGCACCATGAACCCCTAATTTTCTGAGCCTGCGTGTTTGCTGGCCCCTCAGGACTTCTGGCTTGGGGACACTGGACCCTGAAACGTTCACAGGCTGTGCAGGCAGGAAGCAGGGAGCTGGCCACCTGTCCAAATGGGGGAGGGGACAGGGAAGGCAGCCTGACAAACGGGGAGGAGCCCGGGCCCCTCCCACAGCCAGCCCCAGAGCGGGCCGGGTTTGGGGGCAGGGTCCCCAACCCGGTCCTCTCGTGGATTCCCAGACTGGGGCATGGTCCATGAGGTGTCAGTGGTAGAGACGGACTATGAGGAGTACGCTCTGCTCTACACCCACGCCGAGAGCACCAAAGGCCTGGGCGGCCAGGACTTCCGCATGGCCACCCTCTACAGTACGTGCCCCGCCCCACGGCCTGGCCTCAGGCCCGGCCAGAGAGAGACCCAAGGGGAACCCTGAACCTGGGGAATGGGGGCCAAGCAGAGATCTCCCCACATTGAGGCAGCGGCTTTTCCTCCTGCCCCAGGCCGTGTGCAGAGCCCGAGGCCTGAGGTGAAGGAGAAATTCAGCACCTTCGCCAAAGCCCAGGGCTTCACAGAGGATGCCATTGTCTTCTTGCCACAGACCGGTGAGGGGGGCACTAATCTGATGGGGAGATTAAGGTCAGATTAGCGGCAGACAAGCAGTCTCCTGATTTGGGGGAGGCTGGGGGTGGGGTGCGTCCGGCCAGACCGCCCACTGACTGGCACGGTCCTCTGGTGTGGGGGGCAGTCTGTCCTCACCCCATGACCTTGGCTGCAGCCAGTGGGGGGGCACCGGAAGATACTCCAGGAAACCCCCCACGCTGGATTCACCAGCACTTACTGTGTGCCAGACCCTGGCTCAGCCCGCAGGATACAAGGGCCCCCAGCCTGATGGGGGGCGGGCCCTAGAAATGGAACCTGTGGGGTGGGGGTGCCCATGGGGGGCACAGGCTGCAGGAACATGGGGCAGCGGCTACACGGGGGCTCAGGCACAATGTTGGGGGGCGTAGGCAGCCCGGGTGGGCAAGCAGCCCCAGCGTGGGGTGCTGACCACGGCCCCGGCTTCTTTCTCGGCAGATAAGTGCATGGAGGAGCACAATTAGGTGAGTGCGGTGGGCAGAGGGCAGCTTCACCCAGCAGTTGCCATTCATTCGTTCATTCACTCAGTCATTCATTCAACACACATCCAACAACAGCCAAGGGTGGTCCCAGGCAGACAGGGGCTGGTCCAAGGGGAGAGGGCTCCCATGGGGTTCAGTGAGGTTGCGGGGGGGTAGGAGGAGCTGGAGGCTGGGACAGTAACAGGGTGGGGCAGGCAGGAGGGGAGGTCAGGGCACAAGGTCCTGGGGGGCAGGGGTCACTCCCCTGGGGACCCTGGGGCAAGGAGGGGCGGTGTTACCTGCTCCACTGAACTGATGGTGCTGCTCCCTTGGCCAGGTCACCTCAACCCTCAGGACCTGGCTGTCTTGCCCTGCTCTGCTCTTTCTTCCAAGACCCCTGAGACCCCATCCCTGGCTCCTCCCTCCACCGCCTCTGCCCCCTTGGGCTTTGTCCTGCTCTGAAAATAAACTCCAGAAGCAAGTCAGTAGCCTGGCTCCTGCCTGTCTGTCTTGTGGCCGATGCTCTGGGCCTGGCTCTGGCCTGCTCCCTGGGGACCTGACCCCCTCCCCCACTCACTTTGGGCCTCGGTTTCCCCTCCCACCCCCATGAAATCTCAGAGGCTGGCTCTGTGTGACACCGGAGGGGTGGGCTTGGACCTGCCAGCGTTTGCTCCTGGTGGGGTGGGGCAGGAGTCAGCACAGCTAAGGGAGGTACCATCACGCCCCCGCTCACCCCACTCAGTGTTCTGACCCACCGCGGGCTCCTCCAGCTACACCCCTCAAGTGACAGCCATTGGGCTCTGGGCCAGTGCCCATCAGCTCCTAATTCCCAGGCCCGCGCCTGCGGCCAGCCTCCCCAGCCCGGGGAGGCCTGAGGCCCAGGGAGCTCGGGGTGCATAGGTTTTTGAAGCTGCGGAATTAGTGCACTCAGATTGGGCAGAGAGAAGGGGGACAAAGAGGAATGTGGCTGGAGTGTCCCTGCCCCAGACTGGGACACACTCACCGATGGGTTGGAGACAAGCCACCCTCACATCGCCTCTAGCTACCTGAGTGCCCCTAGTCCCCTGGGCCTCCAGAGCATACAGCCCACCCGTTCGCCAGGGCCCTGGCACCAGAGCCCGTCTTGCCCAGCCCTGCCCCTCGCCTCCTGCTATCCCCCAGGTTCTTGGCTGGGTGGCCATTTTCAGGGGCCTGTCCTTGGCCCCATGGCTCACAAGGTGCAGCACCCACTGCAGCTGCTCACCAGGCCCCCACCCCGGCAGACCTCAGCCAGGCCCTCAGGGGCACCAAGGCTTGTGAGACTCAGAGGTGAGCGTGAGCTCTGGGAGGCCTTCCTGGAGGAAGGTCCCTGGGGGCTGTGCCTGAGCTGAGGGCTGGGGGCCGACATCCCAGAGGACCTGCCAGAACCACGCCTCCTCCTGCTGCAGGGCATCTGGCCCCCTCCCCAGGAGGAAACAGGGGATTGGGCGGGTGGGATGGAGGCAGCTAGGCCAGGGCGCTGCAGGGTGCAACTTGATCGGCAGCCTATCACAGTGGGCCCTGGCCCAGGCCTCAGGCCGACTGCCCCGGGGCATCTCAGGGGCATAAAGCCTGAGCTGGAGAGGCCAGCCCAGCACCCCTGCCCTGAGCCAGAGTCTCCGCCGTCGCTGGGACCGACCTCCCTCCAGGATGCTGCAGATGCTGCAGATGCTGCTGACTGGCTCCATCCTTGCCCTGCTCTGGGTGTCCTCAGGCCAGGCCCAGGTCCCCATCCAGGCTGACTTTGATGCCAACCAGGTGCGCCCAGGCATCCCCAGGCCAGACCCATCCCCTCCTCCTTATGGACGACTCTCTGGTCCTAGGGGCCTGGCTGCATTATACCCAGGGAGGCTGGAGGGTCAGGGGCAGCCCAGCCCTGCCCACACTCTCCCTGATCCTGGCTCAGCTTGAGTCCGGGGGCCAGGGGAGAGAGCCCCCATCCATCTGCCTCATCCATTTGTCTCATGGGTGGGGTGGGCTGGGGCGGTCAGCAGCCCTCCGCCCAGCCTCCAGGTTGTGCCCAGCACCACTCCCCAGGGCCTCGCACTGGGACGAGCTCCAGCTGGCCCCTATCAGGTCGATGTGGATGCAGGGTCTGCCCCCCAGCTCTCCCTGCACCTTCCCTGCAGTTCCAGGGCACCTGGTACATGGTTGGGGTGGTGTCGGACGACCAGGGCTTCCTGGACTCCAGGGACAGCATGAAGATGCCCGTGGTGTTGGTGACTTCCTTGGCCAATGGCGACCTGGCTCTCAAGTTTGGGTACTCCACGTAAGTGACCCCACGAGCCCCACTTCCGACTGAGCCTTAGACATGGCCAGTGTGAGGCTGGACGTGAGCCAGCGGGAACCACAGGTGTCCCTGACCCATTCGGGAGTCAGACCCAGGCTGGGCTGCAGGGACTCTTAAAACAGTGGCAGCAGCAGGGCTGCTCCCCAAGGGGCCTAGCCCGTGCTGGACGCTGTCCCTGAGACCTGGGTGTGGAGGAGCAGCGTCCCTGTGTCTGTGTGAGTCTGGAGGGGAGACCCACGTCCCCTGGCTGTGTGCCCCTGACCCAGTACGTGCTACCTGCCCCCAGCTGTCTCCTCACCTGTGAGACAGTCATGAGCACCTGTGTCCTCTGAGCAGCGCTGTGAGGGGAGTGAGTGGATGCCGGGCAGGCTGGCACCGCCCCACCCTAAGCAAGGTGGCCGGTCGCGTCGTGGCTGGGCAGCGTCCTCAGGACACACACAGGGGCCACTGCTCAGGGTGCTGTGGCTCCTCCCCCCCAGGCCTGATGGCAGCTGCCAGAAGATGGACATGACCCTCAGCAAGGGTGCCGTGGATGGGCAGTTCAGCAATGCCGGTGAGGGGGGCGTGGCTGAGAGGGCAGTGGGGGTGCTGGGGGCCCCTGGGGGCCGTGCTGGCTGCCTGATTGGTGCCTGGGCTGAGGGCACTGGGCTCAGCGGCTCTCGCTTCCTCAGCCATGGCGCAGACCGACGTCCGAGTCGTGGTCACCGACTACAAGCACTTCGCCGTGCTGTACTTCGAGACACAGAAGGGGGGCGTTAGGAACGTCTGGCTGCAGCTCTACGGTGGGCGGCGTTCCTGACACCCCCACCCCGTCCCAGGCACAGGCCTCTCCTCTAAGGGGCCGTGGCTGAGCTCCGGTCTGGAGTGTTGCCCATAGGCACTTTCCAGCAAGTTCCGATTCTGTGGCAGGTGGAACCACTGTCTCCAAGGGTCTTCTTGAGACCCCCATGTCTGTGGCAGGGGGAGTCCAGACCCCTCCCCTCCCCATCCCTCTATCCCCCTCTCCTCCGGGCCCTGCCCCCTCTGCTCACTGGCCCTCTCTACCCACAGCCCGAGCCCCAGAGCTGTTTCCCGAAGGTGCTCAGAAGATGCAGCAGTTGGCACCCCAAGTGGGCCTGAACCCCAGCCAGGGCGCCATGCTCCCCAAGTCGGGTGAGTGCTGACTCCACCCCAGCTCTGGGCTGCTGGAGCCAGGAGACCCCAGACCCCAACTGGCAAGGCCAGGCCTGGAGGCTCCCCACACTGACCCGAGACGTGGACAGAAGTACCGGGGCAGCCCTGGCCTGTCTGGGCCAGGGGAGGGTGGAACGATGCCCCCTCAGGAGGGGACCACCGGCCAGGGGGGCTTGGCTGCTGGGGGCAGGGGGGCTCCAGCCCAGGGGAAGGGGCACTGAGTAGTTCCTCAGGCCCCGCTCTCTTCCACAGACCAGTGTGCTGGTGCCTTCTCCTAGGTGAGTACCAGGGGCTGGCCTGGACACCGCCCCCCCCCACCAGATCATGCAGTGCCCAGCACCCTGCCTACCAATGGAGGCCCCTCCTGGCCAGAGGGCTGCACTGTGGGATCCTCTGTCTTGGGGGTTGGGATACGGGTGGCACCACAAAAATCAAGACAGGACAGCAGGCAGCGATGGGGAGGGATAGGGTAGGGTCCGGGCCTGGACCCAGAGAGGGCAGCGGACGCCACCCACCCCCCACCCCTGCCCCCTTGTCTGCAGTGAGGGGTCGAGCCCAGGAGTGCCTGCAGGACCTGCCGCTGGGTGCTGCTCCACCTACGGAGCCTCCCCAAAGAGCGCCCTCTTCTCCCCGCCCCTCCCCCAGCATAATAAACAATCTCCCACAGTCAAGCTTGTGCGTTTGGTGTACTGAGAGAAGGGGGGTTGGGGCGCGGTGGTAGGGGCACCCTGGGAGGGGGCCTGCCCCACCCCCTATGGCCTGGACCTCCAGAGAGGAACAGTGCCGAGCTCGGGCTCTGGCCCCGCAGGGTGGGCCTCCACGCCATCACCGGGCAAGGGCCACCCTGGCAGCTGCCGGCCTGGGAGGGGCTGGGGCTCAGCTCTGCACCCCAGGCCTGGCGGAGCTGCGTGCCAGGCTCCCATGGGTCCTCCCAAACCACGGCCAGGATGGGGTATCTGGGCTGCTTCTGTCCTCAGGATCCCCTTCCATCCCCAACATCTCCCCTGACCCCTGCCTGCCAAGTGCCCGCTGTTCACACTCTGAGCCGGGCCCTCCCTGCCCAGAGTGTGGGGAGAGAAAGAATGGGGTGGGGTGGGGTACAAACTCTGTCCTGCCGTTGTGTTTATGTAGGACGGTGTCGCTCTTCTTTAAAGACACGGTCTGAAAAATTTGAGGGTAAAATGGCATGATATCTGTAATGTAAATTGTTTAGGAAGAAAATTCCAGATGTAAATATGTCAAAATGCTGATAATTGTTCCATCTGGGTGATGGATCATTATACTATTATTTCTGCTTTTCAATTGGTTAGACATTTTTCATTAAAAAAACACAGCCCTGTCCTGCCAGACTGGCTTCCTTGATCCAGGCCCTTCTGAGCAGGGAGGTCAGAGGCATAGCCCCCACTCCCTGGGGCCCCAGATAGCCCTCCACACTTGCACCCAACACCTGGGTGCCCAGCCAGCGCCTCTCCTGCCCCTGGCCTAGATGCCGGCCTCTGGCCCACCTGTGGACACTACAAAGGCAGTTTTCCCCCTGTCCCCAGCCTGACACCAGTCTGGAACTGAAGGCCAGTGGGATGTGGCAAGGCCTAGATAGCCAGCCCCTCCCACATGTGTGATCAGTGAGCTCACCCTCCTGCCCTTTCTGGAGACACTTGGGCCAGGGGCTGTCTGCCTACCTTAGGTGTCTGCTGAGAAGCTGTCTGGGCTCCAGGCCATCAGGCCGTCAGCCCGTGGCTCGTCTTGTTCTGCACCACCCTAATCAGGCCACACGGGGGTAGCCCTCAGCCAGATCTCCACCCAGAAACCCAAGGGATGCGTGTGCAAGATCTGTCAGCTCATGCCCTCCTCTGCTGAGAACCGCCCCCAAGGGTCTGGTCCCACCAACAGTAAAGGCCAAAGTCCTCAGGTGGCCGACAGTCCCCCCTGATGGACCTTCCTCTGACCCCACCGCCCACTCTCCTTAATTCCAGCCCAGCTGACCTCTTCGTGTCTCTTGAACATACCAGCCCTGTGGCTGCCACAGAGTCTTTGCATATGCTACTCCCCCACCCCCCAGAATGCTCTTCTCCTAGCTCTCTGCTTGGCTCACTGGATCCACTGTGCTGAAATACCCCCTGCTTGGTCCTTCCTTAGATTTATGGGACCACCCTACCTGCTCCTTCTCTGTGCTCTTTGCTCCTCTCTGCTGCTCAGCCTACAGTGCTCCGTGCCCTGGTATTAGAGGCCAGCCGCTTCTCTTCCCTGCTCTCCTTCACACCCTGATTCCGTGCCCAGGCTGCCTGGAGACCTTCTTAGACCCTCCCCTCGTCTGTGTTTGAGGCCTTACCTACCCTGCACCCACATCCCACATTAAATAGGATTGCTCACGATGGAAAAGCTGAGGCGCTGAAGGCTGGTTGATGAGTTGCATTTTCTAGATAAGTGTGTGATTGTTTTAAATTTAGACACTGCAGCTTTCTTACCATGCTTGGGACTAATCTTTGTTTCAGGCCTTTATCTGTTTCTTGGGGCTGCTGTAACAAATTATCACAAACTCGGAGGCTGAAAACATCCATTTATTCTCTTACAGTTTTGGAGGCCAGAGTCCAGAATCAGTTGTCACTGGGCTGAAATCAAGGTGTCACAGGGCCCTGCTCCCTCCGAAGGCACTGGGGGAGGATACTTCCTTGCCTCTTCCAGCTTCCGGTGGCTGCCGGCACTCCTTGGCTTGTGGCTGCATCACTCCTATCTCTGCCCCCTACGGCCACCTGGATCCTCCTCTTCTTCTTTGGCAAATCTCTCTCTGCCTCTCTCTATAAGGGCGCTTGTGATGGCATTTAGGCTTCATTCCAATAATCCAGGAATCTCTCCCCATCTCAAGATCTTTAACTTATCTGCATCTGCAAAAAGCTCCTTTTCCCTACAAGCTCATAGGCACAGGTTCCAGGGGTCAGGACCTGATATTCTGAAGAGTCCTCATTCAGCCCACCACGGCCCACACAGAGACATTCTCCTAGGCCCTGAAATGTGCCTGGAGGGACTGATGTTCAAGACAGGCCTCGAGGCTGGCACCTCCACGTTCACGTCTCGGCCTGATTCTTCCTCTAGACTGGAGTCTCTTGCACACATCGGCCTTCACTCCCCTCCGTCAGGCATCCAGCCCATCATGCATCAGGTCACATCACAAACTGCCCCAGCCCAGTCGTCTTGGGAAAGGACATTTCCCCTCTCCCCAAACACAAGGGTCACCGTGACCCCTCCCTTCCACCTCTCTCCACTTGCAGTCTGAGCCCCTGGCCCAGCCTCCATCAGCTCTGCCGTGAGGAACACAGCAGCTCCCTGCTATTCTCCCTGCCCCACCACCCCGCACCTCCACACCTGTAGCCCTTGGGCCTCTTTCCTCCTGGCACCACCGTGGGCTTCACGCACACGCATCAGCTGTGCCCCTCTCCATCCCGCCCCTGCTTAACCCCCTAGCACCTCCCACTTGGCATTCACGCACTCACAGTATTTATTGAATGTCTCTATGTGCCCGGCACTGTTTAAGCACTGAGAATACGGTGGTAAAGACCTCATGGGGGCAATGGGCAATAAACAGGATAAATAAGTGGAGTCACCTACGGCTGAATAACAAATCACCCCAGAATTTTTTTTTTTGATTTTTTTTTTATTGAGTTATTGATAGGTTACAATCTTGTGAAATTTCAATTGTACATTAATGTTTGTCAGTCATGTTGTAGGTGCACCACTTCACCCTTTGTGCCCACCCCCCACCCCACCTTTCCCCTGGTATCCACTAAACTGTTCTTAGTCCATAATTTTAAATCCCTCATATGAGTGGAATCATACACAGATTATCCTTCTCTCGCTGGCTTATTTCACTCAACATAATTCTCTCAAGGTCCCTCCATGTTATTGCAAATGGAATGATTTTGTTCTGTTTTGCAGCTGAGTAGTATTCCATTGTATATATGTACCACATCTTCTTTATCCATTCGTCTGTTGCTGGACACTTAGGTTGCTTCCACGTGTTGGCTATTGTAAACAGTGCTGCAATAAACATTGGGGTGCACAGGACTTTTGGGATTGCTGACTTCAAGCTCTTTGGATAAATACCCAGTAGTGGGATGGCTGGATCGTATGGTAGTTCTATTTTTAGTTTTTTGAGGAATCTCCATACTGTTTTCCATAGTGGCTGCACCAGTTTGCATTCCCACCAGCAGTGTATGAGGGTTCCTTTTTCTCCGCAACCTCTCCAACATTTGTTGCTATTAGTTTTAGATATTTTTGTCATTCTAACGGGTGTAAGGCGATATCTTAGTGTAGTTTTGATTTGCATTTCCCTGATGATCAGCGATGATGAGCATCTTTTCATGTGCCTATTGGCCATCAGTATATCTTCTTTGGAGAAATGTCTGTTCATGTCTCCAGCCCATTTTTTGATTGGGTTGTTTGATGTTTTGTGGTTGACTTGCGAGAGTTCTTTATATATTATGGATATTAAGCCTTTGTCAGATATATGACTTGCAAATATTTTTTCCCAGTTAGTGGGTTGTTTTTTTGTTTCAATCCTGTTTTCATTTGCCTTGAAGAAGCTCTTTAATCTGATGAAGTCCCATTTGTTTATTCTTTCTATTGTTTCCCTTCTCTGAGAAGGCATGGTGTCCGAAAAGATCCTTTTAATACTGATGTCAAAGAGTGTACTGCCTACGTTTTCTTCCAGAAGCATTATAGTTTCAGGTCTCACCCTTAGGTCTTTGATCCATTTTGAGTTTATTTTGGTGAATGGTGAAAAAGAATGGTCAATTTTCATTCTTTTACATGTGGCTTTCCAGTTTTCCCAGCATCATTTGTTGAAAAGACTTTCTTTTCTCCGTTGTATGCCCTCAGCTCCTTTGTCAAAGATAAGCTGTCCATAGATGTGTGGTTTTATTTCTGGGCTTTCAATTCTGTTCCATTGATCTGTGCACCTGTTTTTGTACCAGTACCATGCTGTTTTGATTACTGTAGCTTTGTAGTATGTTTTGAAGTCAGGGATTGTGATGCCTCCCATTTTGTTCTTTTTTCTCAGGATTGCTTTAGAAATTCGGGGTCTTTTGTTGCCCCATATGAATTTTAGGATTCTTTGTTCTAATTCTGTAAAGAATGTCATTGGGATTCTGATTGGGATGGCGTTGAATCTGTAGATTGCTTTAGGTAGAATGGACATTTGAACTATGTTTATTCTTCCAATCCATGTACAGGGAATGTCTTTCCATCTCCTTATGTCGTCATCCAATTCTCTCAGAAAGGCCTTGTAGTTTTCATTATATAGGTCCTTCACTTCCTTAGTTAAATTTACCCCAAGGTATTTTATTCTTTTTGTTGCAATTGTGAATGGTATTGTATTCTTGAGTTCTTTTTCTGTTGGTTCATTACTGGAGTATAGAAATGCTACTGATTTATGCAAATTGATTTTATACCCTGCAACTTTGCTGTAGTTGTTGATTACTTCTAAGAGTTTTCCAATGGATTCTTTGGGGTTTTCTATATATAAGATCATGTCGTCTGCAAACAGCGAGAGTTTCACTTCTTCCCTCCCTATTTGGATTCCTTTTATTCCTTTTTCTTGCCTGATTGCTCTGGCCAGGACCTCCAGTACTATGTTAAATAAGAGTGGTGATAAAGGGCATCCTTGTCTCGTTCCTGTTTTCA